CAGGTACAAGGCCGGGGGCACAGGATGCGCCCAAATTCACAAATCCCTGTTGTGCAAGACGGCACGCCTGCCACCGAGCCAGTGGTGCAAACAGCAGCCCAGGGAGCCGTCATGGGGCTGAATGCGGGTCTACCCTATCGGTGTTATGAGCTGGGCATGTCCTCAGCTGACTCCCTGCGTAACCATTGGGCTCGCGACACGGTGATGGGTGAGTGACGGGTGTCTCCTGGCCCCGCTGGCAGGCAGGCGCGGAGCTCAGCGCCCAGGTGGAGGCCCTGCACGCTGAGAAGGAGGTGCTGAGGCGGTCGGTGAGCGAGAAGGAGTGCGAGCTGCTCTCCACGCGTGGCCTCGTCGAGGAGAAGGAGCTGCAGCTGAGCCAGGAGGCAGACAGGGCCACGAGGGAGATCCGTGAGCTACAGGGCAGGCTCCTGGAGAAGGTATGGTGCTGTGTGGAGACCCCACTGCCCCTCTACTCGCCTGGGCGAGACGTGTTTGGGGGGTGCTGAGCAGTCGGGGGCCTCAGCTGAGCCATTGCCGATGTAGCCGTAGGATATGACTTGCACCAGCAATAATGGGATGCTTGGGTCTAATCCTGCGAAGGGGCTCTCGAGGGGTACGCTGGTGATGGGGCCGCAGTGACAGGAGTCCTGTGTCCCAGTTGTGCCACTCCCCTGTTCCTCCTGCCCCGCAGAGCAACCAGGAGCAGAACCTGCAGCAGAAGCTGCTGGATGAGCAGTTCGGCATCCTGCAGGAGACGGTGCGGGAGGCGGAGAACATCCTCCGTGACGCGGTGGCCAAGCTGGACGACCCGCTGCACGTCCGCTGCACCAGCTCCCCAGGTACGTCCCGCTCAACCATGGGGGCTGCAACCCGCAGTCCCTTCTCCCTCCAAGACAGATAACATTGCATCTCAGCTTCCTCCAGGCATTTTTTCCTACCAATCATCACGCCCAAGGACGTTGGGGTCAGACTTCCCGGGAGTGAATTTTTAGCTCTCATCTCCGCACTGTTTTGCTCAGATTTTTGTGCTGTTCCCCAGCCAGGGCCGTGAGGACCTGAGCTGTCTTGGCTTCCGCTCAGTGGTGCCTCGTGGGGTCAGCACTCGTGCTCGTTCAGACACTTGGCAGCCTGACGGTGCTAACGAAGCTGAATTCATTGCAGATTACCTGCTCAGCCAGGCGCAGGCGGCGCTGGAGTCCACGGACGCCCTGGAGAACGGGCACGCGCAGTACGTGGCCTCCATGGCAGGTACCTGGGGCTGGGGACCGGCGGCATTGCTTGCATCTTGCTTTTACTTTTATACATCCAGCAGCTGGCAGCTGCTTCGGGGCCATCGGCAAGAGCGCAATGCCCTGGTGATGGAGGGACATGGTGGGGGGAGTTGGTGGATTCCCATGAGCTCGTTCCAGGAGCAGCCTGCAAGCTGGAGGGGGTCAATCCTGACCTCTCCAAGCTCTTGTACTGATCCTTGAGTGCCTTCAAGGATGGGCCGCAGCCCCCAGGACATGGCAAGTGGTGCCCTGTGCTGGCAGCACCTGACCGCATCCTCTTGCTGGCAGATGCCGCGGGGCTGGTGGGGGCTCTGGCTCTCTTCGCACACCTGACGGCCGACACCATCGTGAACGGCAGCGCCACGTCCCACCTGGCTCCCACTGACCACGCTGACCGTGAGTGCCATGTCTGGACATGGCGGGTGTTAGGGTTTTTTTTTGCTTTTGGGGCTTGTTTTTGGGGTGGCCGTGCCAAAGCCCCCTCCTCCGGGGGCTGGATATGGAGCAGATCTTCCCTGGGGGCAGCACAGTCCCCCCAGCTCCCTGTGCTTCCCTTCCCAGTATTCCCTCCCCTCCGGTGCCCCTTCCTTGGCCAGGAACATTGCTTTGCTCCTGGAAACCAATTCATGCTCTTCGGGAAGAAATTTGCTGGATGCCTCAGATGCTCAGCGTCATCTCTGCAGCCAAGGGGAAGAGGAAGAGGAGGGTGGCAGGGCTGGGATGGGGGATGCCTGCCCTGCAAGGGGCCCGGCGCCGACCCGTCCTCTCCCCAGGGCTGATGGAGACGTGTCGGGACTGCGGGCAGCAGAGCCTGGATTACCTGGGCAAGCTGAAGGACAAGCAGACACTGGGGCATGCCGAGCTGGGGGACGTGCGGCAGGCGCTGCGGGGGGTCCTGCAGCTGGCCCAGGTAGGAGACGGAGCCCAGCGCACCCACCTTCTTGCCCGGGGCTGGCAGGGTGGGTTATTTACTGGCATTGGTATTTCCTAAAGGAAAAATCAAAGCAGGCAGTTAATGCAGAAGCACGTTGCCTCTGTTTGTCAAGGTGGGTTGTTTGCTCGCAGCCTTCTGGCTGCACCTCAATGGACAGCTTTTTTTTTTTTTTTTTAAAAAAAAATCAAACTATGGCTTTCCCCGTTGTCCAGAGCTGAAATTGGAGACACTGGGTTGGAGTGAGCACTTTGGGGTGGCTTGTTCCCTGTACCCCCGGGTTCCGGTGCTTTTCTTGAGCCATCTCAGCTTCTGAGCGCCAAGACCCTTCCTGGTGGTGCACAGAGACAGTCACCCTCAGATCAGCTGAAGTCTTTCAGCCCAGTAACCCCTGCAGAATTAGCCTTCCCAACTTTCAGATACTTCTTCTCGTGAAGCCCCCATTATTCTTTTCCATTAAACTGCTGTTAATTCAAAGGCTGTCAGCTCTCCAGAGCCCTCTGGAGCCCTGCCCTGCCGAAACTGCTCCTGTGATTGACTTTTGTCACCTTGATTTGGGGCGTTTCCTACCTCTGAGGTCCCTGTGCCATGTTTGCTGCAAGTTGGTGGCACGTGTGCCTCCACCCTGGCAGTCTGCAGAATGCAGCTCCTGCGGGTTTATTTATTTAGGGGGAAAAAAAAGGAGTTGGATACCTTGGTTTGGTGTTATTCCTTACAAATATTCCTTTCTCTCCCTCTGCCTAAAAACTCCTGGCGGCTGCTGCCTCCTCCGGCAGGAGCTAAGGCCCAAGAGCTTAGACATCAAGCAGGAAGAGCTGGGGGACATGGTTGAGAAGGAGATGGCCTCCACCTCAGAGGCGATTGAGGATGCTGTCAGGCGGATAGAGGTGAGACGGGGTGCCTCAGGGCAGCAGTGTCCATTCCTCCTCCACCCTGCTCGCCGTCACAGCAACGTGGTGTCCAACTCTTCCTCTTCTGTTTCCCAACAGGAGATGATGAGCCAGGCCAGAAACAAGAGCTCTGGTGTTAAGCTTGAAGTGAATGAGCGGTGAGTTTTGAGGGCTGGCGTGTGACAGCCATGGTCAGGTTTCTGTCCCGTGCCCATTCCCTGCTGGGCTGTGCTTTATTCCAAAACTGCACGTGCAACCCGGTGCTGCATCATCCTGATGCTGAGCATGAAATTCTCTTTAGGAGGGTGGACATCTTGCACGTTTAAGCCAATTGTTCACGGCTGCTTTGTGGGCTGCATAGAAATAACCTGCAGGCTGGCCGGTCTCTAAAAAAGACCTGTTTTCTAACTGAGGCCAAAGCCTGCTTTCCTGGATGTGGCGTCAGAGGATGCTGAACACTTTTCTCTTGTTTCCCTA